GCCCCCCAGCGGCCGCCCCCGCCTCCCCGCCGCCTGTCCGCAACGCCGTGGTGCCCGCAGAGCCTTCCCTGCCCCATTCCTCGGCCGTAATCGTGACCCGTGTTTTTTGCTAACAGCGAGCAGAGTGCTGCGGCTATCGTATTTAACTTCCCTGGGGCGATTAGTGCCCTTATTAAAAGCAGAAGTAGCATTTCATTCGAATTGCCAAATAGGGGCTTAATTTTTCAGTCAAGAAGTGTTACACCTTGTTGTAAAAGGGGACCTCTGGAATACTGCGTAATGAAGAGATTGCTTCTATCTTGTGATACCAGTTTACTTGCCCTAACACTTCTTCTCTATACGGATACTCATTAGCGCACAATAATACTGCATAAACGGGCAGGGGTTCCCTGTCTGCAGGTAAGTCAGCCTGTGTATCAGAACTTCACAGCACAGACTGCTCAGTGCAGTGCACGTCAGTGTATGATGTGGAGGAGGAGGAGGCTCCGAGGAGACCTCATTGCAGCCTTCCAGTACCTGAAGGGGCTACAAGGGCACTGGGAGAGGACTTTTTACAAGGGCCTGTAGTGATAGGACAAGGGGTAATGGGTATAAATTGAAATCAGGGAGGTTTAGATTAGATATGAGGGAGGGGGGGGAGGCACTGGAACAGGTTGCCCAGAGAAGCTGTGGATGCCCCATCCTTGGCTGTCTTCAAGGCCAGGCTGGATGAGGCGTTGAGCAACCTGGTCTAGTGGAGGATGTCCCTGCCCATGGCAGAGGGGTTGGAACTAGATGATCTTTAAGGCCCCTTCCAACCCAAACCATTCTATGATTCTATGTGAGGCATTCTGAATTAATACTGTGTCCCAGTCTGGCCAAGACCCAAAAGGTTCAGGAAACAGCTGCCATCTCAAAAGTTGTTTCAATTCCAGGTTGCCTTGAATTACAACTGGAATTGTAGTTGTAATTCAACTACAATTGAATACAAATGAATTACTAGTTGTAATTCAACTACTAAACCAACTGAACCCTTCAA